AGCGAATCGGCGGGCCATGATTACCTATTTGTGGAGATCGTGCCCAGACGTCACGCGGAACCCAAGGAACGGCCCGGATTCCCGCTGGAGCGCCCACGTGGACTTTGCAAACTCCCCATTCTTCCACTAGGCCCAGCTGAAGAATGAGGAGTTGGGGGGCTTATGATGGGCCGATATCCAGTGGGCAGCCCAAATGAACCGCTTATACAGCTTCGGGTCAGACACTCGGAAAGTACTCAGGTCTGGGCCGGCCCACAGAGCCGGGCCCGGTTGACTTTAGACCAAGAGTAGCTGGCAGAGCCAGTCCGGAGAAGGAGACGGAGCAGATTGGCCGTTACAGAGCCGGAAAAAGGGGATCGCGCCCTTAACGGGATAGACTCCATCAATTATGCGTAACCTTAATTGCATATAGCTCATGTATAAATAGAGGAGACCCGAAAAGGGGAAATTCAAGCAAAATCAAGCTAATAATACATACCTCATTCTCGAATTCTCGTTCTTAATTTTGTTCTTACGATCCGCTTAACGGATCGGATTATTTGGTGGATTTATTGTCCATCAGATCTCATAAATAGAAACTGTAAAAAATAATAGTAAATGTTTGCCAAAATAAATTGAAAAACACAAAAAAGAACATTACAAACAAAGTTTGTAAGAAAAAATGTACTCTGTATGTAATACAAAAATTGCAAACAAGTTTTCTGTAAGGCGAATGGAGGATATATTTTATTTAAAGTTGTTAAAAAAATAAAAACAATTGTGTTTGACATATTTAGTGTATGTAATACACTCAAAATTGATAATTGTAATGCATTTGGGCAATTTATTTGGCATGGTATGGGTTTTATCGGTTCGGTCCTTGTCTTATTCGATCCGGTCTCCGACCTATGCATCAGCCCTTATTTGGTCCTGGTCTAGTCATGGTCCAGGCTGGTCTGGTCAGAGTTTAGACCGATACACACCCCTAGCCACATTAGCTCCGAGCTAGAGTAGAGGATTTAGGGTGGGTAGAAACTATTAAGTTTACTAGAAGTGAAAATATTATCCCACCATTAATGTCAAATTAAAAGAAGTGCGGTGAACGTTATAAAAGTATAAACCCAATCTTGAATCAGAGCAACTCCAAGGTGTAGTGTATATTGTAAAATATACACTATATACAATTTAATGTTGCCTTTTCAACACTCCAATAGATAGGGTAAACCAAGTGGTAAAATGCAATGTAGTGTAAATAGCAATCTCCAAAGTGTATTTTTACAAGTTCACTATATATAGTGGAAAGAATAAAAAATTAATTTTCTTCATTTTTTCCTTCCCTCTTCTCCATTTTCATATGTACAAGGTATTTATTAGGTCTTTTTTAAAAAAAACATTAAAAATAAGTAACTTAAAACAATAAAATATTATAAAAAGTGTATTATATAGAAAATATGGTTGGAGTAAGTATAAAAAAAATGAAAATGTAAAACACTATTGATAGTGTAAAATGAAATTTACACTACCAATATCTACACTGCACCTTGGAGATGCTCTCAACCCCTCTCTATTAAATTCTGCTACCAGATACAAAATTAACAGAAGAAAATGTTCCTCTATGTATATATTTCTTTCCTTCTCTATAACTCTTCTGTACAAACAAATACAAAAAAAGGCGAATCCCTCGCCCCCGGCTCGACCCGGTTTAGGCGGTTTGGTTTCCAGAAATCAATCGTGCCAGCATAGAAGCATGACCACACATCTCCTAATGATATACAGCCGCGCCCTTTGTTCTCTGATCACGCCTCCGATCCCCCGGCTCGTCGAGATCGCCTTCCTCCCCTTTGACGACGCTTTTCCGGCGGCGGAACTGTTCATCGCCGGCAACTTCATGGAGAAAGCGATTTTTTTTCTCGTTCCTCTTAATTCACTTGCCCCGGTTTTTAAGAAAAAAGATTTGGGAGGAAAAATTGAAGTGAATGAAGAAAGAGAAGATGTGAGGGATTGAGGGGGAGAGGGTGTTTGGAGTTTATATATATATATATATATATATATATATATATATATATATATATATATATATATATATATATATATATATATATATATATTGGTTCTGATGAGAATGCAAAGATCTGGTGCTTTGGATTGTGAGATCTAAGGGTCAAGATTTCATCAAAATTAGATGCACCAAAATGGTTCGAAAATGCATCACGTCGAAATGCACCATAAACCTTCGAAAATGCACTATCTCAAAATCTGAGCGCAGAATGTAATCTGAGCCACACGATGCATCACTGACGGCTAGATTTTATTCTCATTTCTCTCCACAAGGTGCATTCTCACGGGAACCAGCCCCTATATATATATATATATATATATATATATATATATATATATATATATATATATATATATATATATATATATATATATATATATATATATATATA